TCATTTCAGTGATAAACGGAATCCCGCCGCATGCCCTTGACAAACTACTAGCTCCGACAGCCCCTCGCGCGTCGAAGCCACGACAGAAAACCGGAGTGCGGAGATCTCCCTTATAAAACAGGTTCATGTCTCTTACGGCATCAGCAGCCTCCGCTGCATTGACGTTGCTTGCCGACGGGCCCGATGAAGGCAGCAAGAGGCCATGGCGTCCCAACGATCCGGTGAAAGAACAGCGTGATCTGTACACACAGTTTGTGATTAGCTCCGCACTGGGTCTCGGCGCCTTTTTGACGTTCTGCGTACGTGTTTCTGTTGCTATGGGTGTGGGTATTGTTCATCGCTGACTGCTTCGCTTCTAGATCTTACGACCAAAATGGACAGAGTTGTATGCCGCGCGACGACGACAAAGAAATGCTGCTTCGCGGTTACCTGAGCTTCCGGATACCCTTTTCGGTTGGATACCCGTTCTCCATCAGATTACAGAAGAGGAGGTGCTGCAGTCTGCAGGCCTAGATGCATATGTAGTATGTTCTAATGCTTTGGCTTCTATACCAGACAATGGACTCTTGCTAACTCGGATCTCTGGGTAGTTCTTGTCTTTCTTCAAGTTTGCGATCCGATTCCTCTTGGCTGTCTTTATCTTCGCTGTCGCCATTATCCTCCCTATGCACTACAAATACACCGGCCAATATGGAGTTCCTGGTTGGGATAACCCCCCCGGCAATAAGACCATGAGTCCAATTGGTGGAAGCGAAAAGGAAAAGCCAGTTACAGACCCTGCATACCTGTGGATTTATGTATTGTTCGCCTATGTTTTCAGTGGCTTGGCCATCTATATGCTCCTTGACGAGACAAAAGTAATCATCCGCACTCGGCAAACCTATCTCGGGAATCAGACCAGCACCACCGATCGCACCATTCGCTTGTCCGGGATCCCGCATGACTTGGGAACCGAAGACAAGATCAAAGAATTTGTGGAAGGCCTACGAGTCGGCAAAGTTGAGAGTATCACGGTGTGCCGGAAATGGCGCGAGCTCGACGAATTGATTGACGAGAGAATGAAAGTCATCCGTGAACTTGAGAGAGCATGGACGAAACGTATTGGATATAAGCGACCAAAGAGCGATGGAAATACATTGCCGCTGACCGAGCAGCAACCCCGCGATGCAGACGATGAGCGGTCCAGGCTTCTATCCGGACATGATAGTGAGCATATCTCGGGTTATTCGAATGAAAGACCCAAAGTTCGTATCTGGTATGGCCCATTCAAGTTTCGTTTCCGGATGATCGATGCAATTGATTACTATGAGGAAAAGCTACGGAAGATCGATGAACATATCCAAACCGCCCGAGAGAAAGAATATCTTACTACCGAGATTGCTTTCGTCACTATGGAGTCAATCGCCGCATCTCAAATGCTTGTTCAAGCGATCCTTGATCCACACCCGATGCAAATGTTCGCTCGACTTGCGCCGGCGCCGGCAGATGTTATTTGGAAAAATACTTACTTGTCTCGTACTCGACGAATGGTTCAGTCATGGTCCATAACCTTCGTCATTGGATTCCTTACCGTGTTTTGGTCTGTGCTCTTGGTTCCTATCGCCTCATTGCTGGAACTGAAGACCCTTGAGACGATTGTCCCCCGGCTGGCAGAGTTCCTCCAGGAACATCCGATCATCAAGTCGTTGGTTCAAACGGGATTGCCTACCCTCGCATTCTCGCTGTTGACGGTAGCTGTGCCTTATCTCTATGAGTGTAAGTTTTCCATTAAACATTATCCTTCATGTAGTTGTTCAAATCGCTGATTATCTTTAAAGGGCTCTCGAACAACCAAGGAATGGTTTCACGTGGTGATGTTGAGCTGTCCGTCATCTCCAAGAATTTCTTCTTCTCGTTCTTCAATTTGTTCCTTCTGTTCACTGTGTTTGGAACAGCAAGTGGTTTCTATGGGTTCTGGGAAAGCCTTCGGGATGCATTCAAAGATTCTACAACGATTGCCCTCGCATTAGCCAATTCCCTTGAAGGCCTGGCTCCATTCTACATCAACCTGTTGATTCTTCAGGGGTTGGGCCTTTTCCCCTTCCGGCTCCTCGAATTCGGAAGTGTCGCACTATACCCCTTCCAATTTCTGTCGGCCCGCACGCCACGGGAATATGCGGAGCTGTCAACCCCTCCCAAGTTCAGCTACGGTTTCTCCATCCCGCAAACCATCTTGATATTAGTTATCTGCGTGGTCTACAGTGTGTTCCCGAGCTCGTGGCTGATCTGCCTGTTCGGCCTGATCTACTTCACAGTCGGCAAATTTATCTACAAATACCAACTGCTGTATGCCATGGATCACCAGCAACATTCCACTGGCCGCGCGTGGCCGATGATTTGCAATCGCGTATTCGTGGGGCTGTTGGTTCATCAGCTGGCCATGATTGGCGTTCTGGCTCTGCGCCGAGCCATCACCCGGTCACTACTCCTAGTGCCACTTCTAGGCTTCACTGTTTGGTTTTCATACTGGTTTGGGCGTACATACGAGCCCTTGATGAAATTTATTGCCCTCAAGAGTATTAATAGAGACCAGCCGGGTGGTGGCGACATCTCCCCCTCGCCTTCGTCGACCCTCTCACCGCCATCAGGCCTGGATCGCGATAGCCTTCCGATCCGCATAGGCGGACAGGAGCTCGAATTGCGGCTAAAGAAGTACGTCAACCCGAGCTTGATTGTTCCGCTGCATGCTGCCTGGCTTCCCGGTCGCATCCCCGCTCGAGGCAATGGAAATGGTACGTCCGCGTTCGAGGTTCATCAGACACAGAATGCTTGATCCCGTACATAGGTTGTGTGGACTTCAAGTTCGGATGGTCTATTTTTGTGCCGTTTTGTCAATACACTCTTTTTTCCTGCATATGTCTTTGACCCATCATGTTTTACGATCTTGATACCTCGTTCGCACTTCACTATTTCGTTCTGATATGTTTTCACGGTTTTGATATCCTTGCGTGGTATATTTGCTTTCCTTCTTGTCGGGCTCGTCTCGCTTGTCCCTCGCTATTCCCCTCCCGCGCAGTACTTGAATTTGTTATTTGCCAGTCCTTTCATTTATGTGTTTCAGTGTTTATGTCAAAGTCAAATATAGAGTCTGTACAACACTGCTGCTCTCTGAATTTCGTTTAATAATATGGGCTATCGACCCGTCAGGCGCGAGCGGCTGCCTTTTCGGACACACAATGCAGGCTCCACCGAGGCACATCTCGTAGGATTCCTCGGTAAAGATGTCGGGTTCGCTTAGGTTTACTCTTTTCTCGCATTCCTCAGTTCCAAAATAAGCCCGCGGGAAACGTGGCAGTGTCTGAGCACAAAGTCAATACAAGCTCTAACCGAAGAGGAAGCTGAACCCTCGTGTTTCCTCTCTAGCCAATGCAGAAGTATTTAGACGTATCTAACTTAGTACAATTATCCAAAGAAAAGGGTGTCCAAAGGTTTGGCTTCAATGAGGCGGCCTGAGACATCATTCCGCTAGGGGTCACATCACACAGTTGTGATCTATAGACATCGATAATGAAAACAATACAGTATCCGTCCAATAACCTTTCTTTGCATCCAAACATTGAATTCGCAAATCGATTCGATCATTCGATCTAAGCTCCATAGCGGACATACCTCGAACACTTACGGAATCGCCGTCTTCTGGAATCCCTTGGGTCCACATGGTCGTGCATTCCTGAGCAGTGGGGGGCGGCACACTTGTCTCTCTTGCGGTGAGGAGATGAAACAGTAAGAAAAGAACAGAGACAAAACAAACTATCCTTGGGTGTTAAGGAATGTGGAATGATGTTGAACTAAATACTAGTTCAACGATCTTAGTATTGTGTGATTGTTATGATCATCATCACACGATTAGAGACATATGCATGTAAGCGGTGAGGTTCGAAGTGCCAAGCCACTGCATCCGGAGCGCATTCCTTAATTCTCTTTCCCAAGATCCTCTGGAATGTCAGAGTCGCAGATTGATAGTGGATTTTGGGTTCCTTTTGAACATCGGGGTTTCTTGTATGTAACGGGCAGGGCTGCTACGGCTAGTAAGCTTGGAAGTGGCCTATTGAACCGTGGAAATAGAACAGACCTGTATGCATAAAGTTAAGCTTGGTAGTTAGGCCCATGGATCTCTAAACCCTAAACCCCGTATGCCTCCAAATGTCCAAATGTCCATTCCACGATGGAATGGTAGTAGCTGCATTTGCTGCATTTGCTGCATACTGCATCATCATACTGGTAGTAGTATTAACCACCTACCTAAAAAGGTATGTTCGTTTCTTACATGTCGCTTGACGTGCTCCACTTTTTCGGATTTCCGCGAGGTACATCTCAGCTGCCCTAGACTCGTTCTATTTTGTGACGACGTCAAAAGGTAAATTGTAGGAAACTAATTAGATGGCAAAGTTAACTTAGTTATCTCTGTAAATGGTGAGGTGCAGTATTTTAATTAAACAAGTCAGCCCTTGCCTCGCCCTCGAATCTCTTGGGTTTCATTTTGTCATATCAAATCCCCGTCCCTGCACCGCTTTCAGACGTGAGGCCGATACAACCTTACACCTAGCACGTTCTTCGTTGAAACCTTAGTATCACAGGTGTACAATCTTTTCTTAAAAGTAAGTGAATTTTCTTCTTGAATTAAAATTCGCAGTTCGGGCTCGAGAGATTGCAGATCAGTGGGCTTACTAGTGTTCTAGACGATTCATCCGTGGACGCTTTAGTGCTGTATAAACTTGGTTGTGTGGAGATCTACTTTCCCCCGATCTTTGCGTCACTCAATTACGATCTTGCATCTTGCTACTTGGTGTATTTTCGGCTGAAGGCACTTCTTTTCTGGACGCCAATCAATTAATTGCCGTCAAATTTACATTGATCCGATTCCAACATTTGACTCGAAGCAATGTTCTGGAATTGAACAAAGAGACTGAGATCCAGTCGTGAATATTGGGTCACCCTCTCTGGTGGAAGGGTGTGTCAACATGCCTGCGCTGCGGTCTTCGAGTCAAGACTATGCCCGTCAGACGTCCACGAATGCCTCCACGCAGACCAAACGAAGCTCAAGGTCAATACCCTCAGTTTTAAAGAAATATGGGACAGGATACATGTCACAGAATCGACCTCTCTCAAAATGCAATTCAACGAGCAGCTCATCCCCTTCCGCTGCAAATATTGCACCAGCGGAGATCTTACTGGAGATTTTCTCCATGCTGACACCGCGGGACTTCGACAATGCCCGACGGACATGCTCACAGTGGATGCGGATTAGCTTAAATCACAAGCTACTTGAGAATATGTTGAAAAGAGCAGGGTGGTGGGATGCATGGCTACAAGACCGCCAAGCGCCACGCATCTCCCGGTCAGATGAGAGTGAGGTCTGGAGAATGAGCCGCCGCTTTGCGACAGAATGTCTCCTTTCGGGGCGAAAGTCGAATGTCGAGAAGCCAGGTTTTTTGACTACGCTTGTGGTAGACTTTTCAAGTCTGTCTGATTCTGCGAGAAGACAATCCCGCACTCGACTTCAATCGGTTTTGCAGATGGCCGAAGGGAAAGGGTCGGGGGTGTCAACTTTCAGCATCAGCAGTTGCAGCAACTACCTGCTCGTGACGACAGACTGCATGATCTATATTTATTCTCTTTTCGGTCGAAACTCTAGGCCAACATCTGCAACACACTTCGGCCATGATGACTTGGCGCTAGTCTCGCGCATCTCTTGTCCGTTCGATATTCTCTCAGCCACCATCGACACCAGCAAGCCCCAATTCACCATCGCTGCATTGCTTTGCAACCGCGTTGGCATGGTCTGCAACATGGATATGGCTTGGGCCAAAGATTCAGCTACAAAGGGATCTCATTCCAATAGCAGAGCCACCTCATCCCGCCACTTCTTCTACAACATCTGCACTGTAGACAACCCACCCCGAACGGTTGCTCTATGTCCCGGCAGGCCGATAGTCGCCTTCGGCTGCGCCGCGGGCATCGAAATCCACAGCGTGAACGAAACAAAGCGCAATGAACAACGCAAACACTTCACCCTCCCCCAACCCTCCGAAATCCTTCATTTCCTCCCAAGTAGTTCAGAAACCCCCAACGAACTACGTCTCATTTCCTCACTATCCGGACCTGGCTTCCACGAATGCAAGTGCCCTCCCTCGCCCTCCCCTTCATCTTCATCCTTCTCGGAATCATCACCAAAACTCGACCCAAAAAGCAACCAATTCCATTTCCTCGCAGATATCCAGTCCTTCAACCGCCGCCGCATTCCCCACGCCCCATCCCGCAGCTTCGTCCGGGCAACACACTGCCACCACTATCGTGCCGTTCCCATTAACGACGGCTTCCACATCATGTTCATCGAGCCGCGCACAAGCCTACTATGTATCGGTACCGACGCTCCAATCGGCGGGCCAACAAGCCTAACTCGCGCGTTCGTCTGCATTCCGCCGGCTTTCTCAAATACCCAAGACCGACAGTTCAAGACACCACCCCCATCCCCATCAAACACAACTCCGCCTCCAGCAGGCCTCCCAGTCCCAACAACCTTTACCGCGGGCTCCGACCTCCGCTGGGGTCTCCGCGTTGTCGCAGCCTATGGCGACCGCCTCGTGCTGTACTCCATTCCCTTGGACGTATTCAACGTGATTCGCAAAGAACGTGAACGGCAATGCGATGGGGTAATGGGATCCAGCGATCTCCCGCTCGACTGGTACGTTGACTCTGAGCGATCCCGCAAGCGCCGCGAGAGTCTGGTGCAGAACCAGAATGGGGATTGGGAGTTCCTTTTGTCTGTCTCCTATCGGCCTACGGCTATGATGTGGCCGTTTAAGATCTATGGCAAGGAGATTGGGTCAGTTAAGGGGACTGTGGAGCTTGCTTTGCAGTCTTCCGAGGGTGGTGTTAGGGTTTGGGCTTTTGGAGAGGATGGAAAAGGCACGATTTTGGATGTTGATACTGGTGATACTCCTACTCGGTCTCTTGGTGTTGGTTCTGGTGGGGGATTGGAGGATCTTGGTATCGTCCCTCGAGCTGGTTTGGGTGGACTGCAGGGTTCAAGGAAGCGGAAGTTCGAGGAGGTGAATGGGTTTGCGGGTCGATATGGTGCTGGTCGCTATTTGGGAGATGTCAAGCCTTGTGGTGCTGGTGTTCACGGTATACATCAGGATCCGTCTGTTCGGCGTTCATCTTTTGCAGCTTGCATTATAGATTTTAAGATTCCCTTGTATTAATATAATAAATATATTCTCAGGTGTCGAGGTGTCCAGGTCTTTTTAGCAGACTTGGTTTTCCTTCCTCTTTCGTCTTGTCTTGTCTCTTGTCTCTTTCTCTCTCTCTTCTTTTCTCTTCCGTCACCGTCCATCCCTCTTCTCGCATCTCTCATCTCTCTTCCATTTTTGCTCTCATTCACTCTCATTTCACCTTTCAGGACCCTTCTCGGGGTACTTTCCTGGCGAATTACACGTGGTTTACCAGTAAGTTGACATTCATGAATTGTGTTCTCAATCAATCATTCTCACCACCTTCACTTAGCTTTCTTGTACAGATGTGACAGCCATCTACGATGGACTCGATTCCCCTCGCCTATCTCCCTTGCGACTGCTGGGTACAGATACTAGAGTATCTGCCAAAACAGGACTTGAATAACCTGTCACAAGTTTCTCACGATATTCGTGCCTCAACTGAGCTATTCCTGTATCGACGAATCCACTGGGACTGGAAGAATCCCCCGACCCACAAAATCTTGGCCCTCCTGCGAACTATCTCCGAGCGACCAGAGTTGGCTTACTACATCTGGCATGTTAGCTTTGTATGGTGGGATGTGGAATCCGAGAGAACAGAGGTCTTCCTCCCCAAAGGAGGAATGGCTGGCTGGGCCAAGATGATGCTACGGTTTAGGCCCACTTTGAGATGGGCACGGAAGGTTGTTCGAGAGGCACAATACCCAAAGCTCGATGCCAAATGGCTCCCAGGACTGTCTGATGGAGACCCTTACGTCTACGCCACCTTGCTGGTCTCGCAACTGCACAACCTTCGCAGCCTTCGACTGGACTTTTCGTTCGTGCTTGAAGGTGGCTTCCCTGGGGAAATGTTGCATCATTCTCTCTTCGGTAACGCACCCCCTGGTGCAATAAGTCGGTTTTCAAAATTGGAAATGGCCGACTACGGAAGCAATTTGCCTCTCACGGAATTCCGCGACGCTGTCAGATTTGGCGCATCTTGTCAATTCGTGCCCTGGTTCCACCTTCCTTCCTTGAGAACTCTCGAGATATGGCTCCATAACATGGAGGGAATTTGTTTCTTCCCTGCACAGACGCCGAGAGGATTCTTGAATTTGCCAAACCTGCGCAGTCTTGTTATAGCCAAGACACGTGCTCCACCTGAGGACATCGCTACACTGCTGTCTCAACTGCCATATCTCGAGTCATTGCATGTGGGCATGGCCTACAAATGCCGGGAAACTGCCGAGTTTCTCAGGGAGCCTAAGTGCCTCATTCGTGCCTTGGAGACTTGCGGTCAATCTATCAAGCATCTTTCTCTCGGCGTGGAGATTCTCCCATGTTGCCGCGAAACCTTCCGTCTGCTTGCGATGGATGAAGGTGGGAAGCCTTTTCGTGGCATTTTGAAGAGGTTTCCTAAACTAAAAACGGCATCTTTACCGCTCTACTTCCTCATCGGTTGGGATACAGAGCCCTACGAGCTTCGAGATGTACTGCCATCAACTCTTGAAGCCCTTCATATAAGCTCTGATCTCTGGCAGCCCTCAGAATGGACGGGATTCGAAATGGAAGCGCTCAAGGCATTAGAGTCATTGATGAGACACAAACAAAAAGGCTCTCACCCTTCTCTCGAAACTTTCTCCTACCATGGAATGCATACGGTTCATACTCCTGAACGCAATGCTCTGGGCCTCCACGACCAATTCAACTACATCTACTTGATTAAGCGGGAAGCAATGAATCTATTCTGTCGCAGAAAAGGGTACAAACTGTTTACTCGATATTCTGACTGCGCAAATGGTTTCATGTCAAAGAGTGCGACATGGATAGACAACGTCGTTTACTGGCTCCCTTGGCCGTTCGTTAGGGTCGATGAGCTCCCTGCAAGCATGCCTCGATATTCTATCGCCACAACGGCCAAATCATTGCATGAGGAATTAACTGGTCCAAATGAATGGGTGCAAATCCAATTCATGTGAACTCCTCCGATTCAAACTGAACCGATGTCAATTCGACGCACATCCAACTGACGGCCAACATTTAACTTCATGTATGAATAGCCAAGCTTTTCAAAAGGGAAAAAAAAAACACTCCATAGCGAATATGATCCTCTTTGTATTTCCCCTAAAGATCCTCCAGCCAAGATATACAAGCATTTTAGGCCAGGGCCCGAGGTCGGCTTTAACGAGATAGCCGTTGACCCTGATGACGGCATAGGGCTAATTTCGGCCCCATATCTCCACTATAAGGAGAATGCATATAATAATGTAAGTAGGAATCCTCAGTATGCTGCTGAAAGAGTAGAAGCCGTAGCGGTAAAATTACCCTAGAGTGGAATTTGAGCTTCAAGGCCGAAAGAAGTAATATCATTGAACTTTTTATCCACTTTGACACGCTTAAGAAATGCCCCGTCGTAATTTAACTTGATTATCTCAACACAGCTTATTTCGTTTGCGATTTTTCGCGACGAGCGCGAACACCTTGAGCCAGAGTTTCCAGTACTGACTCGGTATCCTCCCAGTTGATGCAAGCATCCGTGATACTGACACCGTACTTGAGACCAGCCTTGCCTTCTGCGGGGACCTTCTGGTTGCCTAGCGCAAGTCAGTATAAACAGCTCTCTATAGATAGCAAAATCTGCGAAAGACTCACCCTCGTTGATATTACTCTCAATCATAACACCCATAATAGCATCCTCGCCGGCAGCGAGCTGCTCAGCAAGCACAGCAGCGACCTTAGGCTGGTTCTTGTGGTTCTTCTCAGAGTTACCGTGGCTGCAGTCAACCATAAGACGGGGACGCATGCCCTTAGCACTAAGCTTAGACTTGGCCTCCGCGATGCTGGCAGCATCGTAGTTAGGGCCCTTCTTTCCTCCGCGAAGGATAACGAAGCAATCAGGGTTACCAACGGTTCCGACAATGGAGACGACACCGGGTTTCGTGACGGACAGGAAGTGGTGGGGGTGCTTGACGGAGCCAATAGCATCAACAGCGACATCGAGCGAACCGTCGGTTCCGTTCTTGAATCCGACGGGGAAGGACAGACCGGAGGAAAGCTCACGGTGGACCTGGGACTCGGTGGTGCGCGCACCGACAGCACCGACCGACAGACAGTCAGCCAGGAACTGGGGGGAGATTGTGTCGAGCATCTCGCTGGCGATGGGCATGCCCTTGTTTGTCAGGTCGACAAACAGCTGGCGCGATACGCGGAGACCCTTGTTGATCTGGAAGCTGTTGTCGATATCTGGGTCGTTGATCAGGCCCTTCCAGCCGACCGTTGTGCGTGGCTTCTCCAGGTACGAGCGCATCACGATCAGCAGATCGTCGGCGTACTTCTCCTTCATCTTCAGTAGGCGATCGCAGTATTCGAGGGCCATTTCCGGGTCGTGGATGGAGCATGGTCCGATCACTACCATCAGACGCTGACGCTGGGTATCTGTGCCATGGACAATCTCGACAGCTTCATTGCGTCCCTGGAGTACGGTCTGTCGTGACTTCTCAGTCAATGCGATCTCATGCTGGAGGAGATTGGGCGGGGTGAGAGGGTTGTAGCCGAGAACTAAGGCTGTTAGGGACCAAACATGAGTGAAAAAAAAAATGAAAAACTGCCAGACTTACTGCGAGAGTCTTCCAAATGATCGTGGTTGCCCACATTAGGGTTATCAATGAAGAACTGTGGAATTGGCGACGTCAGCAATGTGAAATTTAAGATCAATGAGGGGCTTGACTCACCGACATCGGAGGCAGAGGAGGGGGGAGGAAGATGTGGAGGGCAGGTTTTAAAGGGCAATTCAGAGGAATGGAGAGTAATTGCAGTGAAGAGAAGGTATCAATTTCTTAAAAATAGAAAAAAAATTAAAAAGGAACTCGTGAATGAGTCAAAAGCTCAGAGTATAAGAATTTCCACGTGATCCTCGGTGAATTTAGCCCGGCGATAGAGTTCCAATCACGGCGATCCCATTATAAAAAGATGTGGAAAAATGTGGACTAGAATATATGTTGTATTAATATTGATATAAGAATCTGGCCACTTGCATGCAATACTTGCTCAACGTGGTGTCTGTCGTCCTCGAAATAATACATGTAACCTGTGATTTCACCCCTCTCCCCTCCACGTGTTTCAGATTGGCCCTTGTTGCACTCGACGGTCGAGCTCCTGCAGTCCCCGAACCAGGTCTTGACATATATCTGCATGCTGCTCCTTGACGGATTGCATTTGCTGCTGGTATAGTTGCATTCGTGCTTCTTGCGCCTGGAATAGGTCGTCAAGGATCCGACTACACCCCTCTCGGTAGATCTCCAGGACTCGACTGATAGTGGCCTTTTCTTCTGCCAGCTGAATGGACAAATGCTAATTCCCAGTTAACATGGTTCCTTGCATATAGCATAAACAGTTTTGACTAACCGAATTGGTTTGTTGAAGCAGATGGTGTGCGTCCTTCTGCGCCACTTGCAAAGTTGATATCCATTTCATATCGTCATGATCACCCATCGTAGAAGATTGGTGCGGTTTAGCAGCTGATTGTGTTGAAGCAGATATATCTGTTCGGAACGATTGGTCAAGATGCTCGTGATTCTTTGAAGGAGCACCACCTAATGCTCTCTCATCGATCGTTCTCTGTGAAGAAGTTGGTCCAATCGTCGATGCTTTCTCGGAGTTTGCCTCATCGGCACTATCCTCCTCAGAAAATGATGGGCGGTGCTTTTTACGCGGCGGCCATGGGTGAGATCTTGCCAGTTTTTCCGTTTCGATCCCATATTCCAGGAACATGTCTCTCTGGAACTTGGTCCACATGAGTCTCTCATGTTTACGCTTGGTGGAAATACTGCAGGACCTTCGATCGTATTCACTTGGACTGGTGTCAGTGTCATTGGTTGTCTCTTCGTGGCCCTTTTCACCATCCAAGTCAAACTGAGGCGCCATGCCTTTGGCTGACTGGGGCATGAGTCGAGGACTACCGTTGCTGTCGACAATGCTGGTCTTTGGGACTGATCTTGGGTGCTGGGGAGACTCAGAATTCAGTTCCATCAGGGATTCATGGGTGAGAAGGGGCTTTTGAGACTCCGGAGTATCGCTCCCACGTCCCTCAATCCGTCCTGCCGTGAGCTCATCGAATTGTCCTACATTTGAAGTCTCCAACGAGCTATCCGCCTGGCTTTCGCAGATGTTAGTGCCGTGTGAAGAAGTGGTCGGTGCGGATCTCATGGGTTGCAAGGTTGCAAATCCGGGGATATGTTCCATTCCCATGTGGTAATCAAGGATTGAAGGGCCGTCACCTAGCAAGCCTCTGCCGGTTTCAAATTCTGAAGAGCTCGCTGTAGTGGACATCCTGTCATCACCCAGAAGCCTCCAGAAGCTTGCGTCATCTGCCTGTTCTATCTCCTCCTCCTTGGGCGGAAGTGTTTTGGCAATCAATGCTGGATTGACAGTCTTAGACTCAGTTTGGTTTTGGTGCGTTTCAACTGGGAATGTTCGGTTTAGTACACTTTCGATCTTGCGGGGTCCCAGCACCGATTCGGCCGGAATTCGGTTGGACTGCTGCTTTGGGAGAGATTCTTCGGGTTGCACTGGATCAGATGAGATGATGACAGGTGCAGTTTGATTATTGACTGGTTCATGCTGAAAAGGCTCTGTTCCGTGGAGCGCAAGCATCAGCTTGTTGCCAACACTCTCCGCTCTACCACGTCGTTTGCGACGACCCTTTTCATGGACTGTCTTGGCCTGGCTGTGTTGTCCCTTTGAAAGTGCCCTTGACTCCAGAATGGTGACCTTTGAAGTAGACGTGTGAGGCGGTCCTTGAAGATCGACATCGGAACTTGAGGAGACCTGGGGCATCGCATGAACAGCTTTGTCTTTGTTTGTTTGTCCATTGGACTGTGCCCGATGCTCTAGGATGCTGACTTTCGAAGCGCGGGATGGCCCTTTGCCATAATCCTCGAAATCCGAGGACGAATCAGTTGTCACCGATGTGCAGCTTCTTGTATCGACGATCACACTTCCCTTGCTGTTATTCCCATGCTTGTTGTGGCCATCTATCGGTGGCGAAGGTTGGTGCGAAGCTCCGGACACAGTTCCATTGCGCTTCGTGGCGTCATCTTTGCTTTGCGCGTCCAAGGGACCCATATCAGGAGGCCCACTATTCCCCGGAGCGACTGCAGGAGGCAAAGTGCCTGCAGTAAGCGTTACCAATGGCAATTGTGGCCCTTTGGTGCTGCCCTCTTTGGTAGTAGTGCTCTTCCTCCTGTTCGATTTCCTGCGTTTTGCCGAGGTTGTTTGTGGCTTTGGTGGTATTGTTCGCTTGCTTCCTGTGTTTTTGGCGACTGTCTTCGGTCGGTTCGGGTCTGTATCGGCTACAGAGGTTCCTCCACGGGTCCCTTTATTCTCAACTATCTCATTGGGTGTAGGACGAAGATCTTCATCCCAATCCACTTCTTTAGTATTGGATTTGGGCGGCCTTGGTTTGGTGAGCTTCAATCGAACAGTCTTCGACTCCGAAGGCTGGGATGGAGGGGCTTTTGACTTTCGGCGACCTGGGCCTGTGAGGTCGTGTCCCGAAGTCGCTGCGTCTTTGACAGTCGCCTTACTCCCAGTGTCTGGATTAATCGTCGTAGATGAAACCCGAGCTGGCTTCATGGTTGCTATCGTCAGACACTTGGAATCAGAACATGAAGAACAGATGTAAAAGAAAAGCAGCTGTCCAGACCTGCTCAGCTGATGAGGGTGCTGAACTAAGCCCAGCTCCAGAATACGGCATGGATCACATGATACCTCAGCCATAACTTCAAATGTCATGCCGGATGAGTACAGATCCTGGATAATCAAATGATTTGCAGCTATATGGTCAAGATAGGTCTCATTTAGTTAATTTCTATTGATCCTCTTACAGTTAGGTGACCGAGGACGAGTACATGCAAAGGTATGTTCACGAAGAATGTATATTATTGTAGTCTACTCGCCCTTGAATAGATCTACAAATGCCGAGATTGATAAATCTAGATTCTGGGGAAGCAAAAGGTGTTCTATTTTTATCTCAAGTTGCGTGCTTGTTAAAAAGAACCTTCTCCATAATATTTCGCATGATATCCTCCGTACTCCTCAAACTAGAATCTAACTTAACTACCATCCTTAACTTCCCTTCCCACCCTCAGAATCAATGCATCTTCAATCTTCATCCGTCGGCCCGTGCAAGCTCCGCGATCCGTCCGAGATTAATAATCTCCCGGCATTCGATCTGGTTCGCTGACAATGCATCAATTCATGCGGCTGAGAAGCTTTATAAGCAATGCAGGTTGACTTAGGCCTAATAACCCTGGTAACTGCCAGGTCTCACGTTCATACGCCCAATATTGCGTTATAGCTCTGCACAATGGCACAACAAGCGCCACAACACGGCGAGGCGTCAGCTTCTCGATTCCGGTTCAACGCAACCCAGCCTTTAGACCGGCTTCAAGGCCTTCTCCCCGCTGCCCTTGCTAAGCCAGGGAAAGTCGAACTCGAGACCAACACTATTCCCAGAACAAATGTTGCACGCCGTCGAGCCTCAAGCGTCGCCGCTTCCCTCGAACAAGATGAGACTCTTCCAGAGAAGATCTCCGAACAACAGGAACACGGGATTGGTGTGTCGGAAACTGTCGCCAGGGATAAAACAGTTCTGTACCTCGCATACGGGTCAAACCTAGCTTCCAAGACTTTTCGCGGAGTACGCGGCATCAGACCGCTCTCGCAGATCTGCGTACTTGTCCCCGAACTCCGTCTCACCTTCGATCTTCCTGGAATACCCTACGCAGAGCCGTGTTTCGCAGGCACACAATACAGAGATATTCCTGCTCCAGCAGACGACCAGACCGCACTCCAAGATGAAGAGACCGATGTGTCGGACGCTGAGTACCTGTACCTGTCAGAGAAGGCAGCGCTCATAGGTCGAACACGGCAGGTGGAAGTAGTCTCGGGTTGTGACAAGCGACAATGGCACAAACCTCTAGTCGGAGTCGTCTATGAAGTCACACTAGCCGACTACGCGAAGATTATCGCCACAGAGGGCGGTGGTCGTGGATATCGCGACTGTGTCATCGATTGTCATCCCTTCCATCAGTCCTACGATCCCACCGACCCCGTCCCGGATTACCCCACAACACCAGCTTTCAAGGCACGCACCCTGCTCTCACCAGCTGCAGACGATGCCCGGTTTAAATCCCAATCCCACAAAGGCGATGCGCTGCTGGCCAGTGGTCCACAGCTGTCGTGGTGGCATACCGTCTGCTTGCATTTCCGGCCGGATCCTACTTACGCTCAGCCCTCTGCCCGCTACCTTGGCTTGATCAAGACGGGCGCTGCGGAACATGATCTGCCTGTTTCATATCGAGAATATCTTGCGCAAATCAAAACTTATCATATTACAACCACGCGCCAGAAGATCGGGAAGGTGATCTTCCTGGTTCTGTGGGCGCCTTTGTTGATTTTGACTATTGCATTATCCAGGATATTCGCAGGTCCCGATGGTCGCATGCCGCTGTGGCTGGTGGTTGTGACCAATATCGTGTTTTCGAGTGTGTGGAGTAGCTATGACTGTTTCTTCGCTCCTGTCTTTGGGGATGGCGAGCGGACTCTAGATGATACCCGGGCCTGAAGTTATTTCTGGGCCTTTTTTTGATGGAGTTTATAGCTATGTAGATTCTTGCATATACAACAATTAGAAATCGATCGCTGTACACCACTCATATCGTTGCCAAGTCGCAGAACATACCATATCATATTCCTGTGATACCTACAGACATTCGCACACATAAACAGCATCTCTAGAGACTTACATATAGGTAAGTCTCATCTGTCATAATCACAAAGGAAATTAAATTCAGAGGACTCCTCGAAGCACACAGTTTTCGAAAGGAAATGAAAAAAAGAATATATCTAGGATACAGATACAGGTGTTCGGGGAGCGTTCTAACAAAACACAGACACAGCAACCAATAGATAGACACAAAAAATGACGGAACAGAGAGGCCTCTTTGAAGCACCTGTATCAAAACCGGGGATATGGTATGGGTTCCCCAAGTCGTACCGGCCCCTTCAGCCCCTCACATTTTCCCACTCAAAAAAAGGCCTTGCTGCGACATTTAACGGCGGGGGCCGATCGGGGGGCTGTACACGATCTTGCGGGTCTTGAGAGGGGCCCACTTGTAGCGCTTGACCCAGACGGAGACGGCGAACAGACCGGTCAGGAGGGCAACGGCCTTGACACCCATCTTCTTGCGCTCATCCATCTCGGGTTCGGCAGACCAGTTCAGGAACTCGACGACATCCTTGGCCATCTGGGAGGTGGTGGCGGGGGTACCGTCCTCGTACTCGACAACACCGTCGAACAGGACACGGGCCATAGCAATACCTATTACTGAGTCAGAAACGCTAAAAACAATATTATATTGGCTTGTCGTTACGTACCTGTACCGGGGAAGTAAGGGTTGAAGTTCATGCCCTCGGCGACGCTAGCACCAGCGGGAGGCTCATCGGGGTAACCAGTGAGCAAGCTGAAGATGTAGTTGCAGCCACCGTGACGGCCCTTGGTGATCAAGCTGAGGTCAGGAGGAAGAGCACCGCCGTTGGCGGCGCGAGCGGCCTCCTCGTTGGGGTAGGGGCCGGGAATGTAATCGGAAAGCTTGCCGGGGCGCTTCTCGATCTCACCCTGGTCGTTGGGCTCGGTGTCGTACTCGTGCTCCTCGGCGAAGGCCTTCATCTCGTCGACGGTGTGCATGGTGCCGACCATTGAGCGCCATGGGACACGACTGAGGGAGTGGCAGGAGGCGCAAACCTCACGGTAGACCTGGAAACCACGGCGGAGACTTGGACAAGAGTCAGTACAATGTATGCCGGTGAAAGCAAAAATGTGACTTTTGGGGAAAGAGCACTCACGCGGCGTGATCGAAAGTCTTGTTGAACCGCTCGTGCACCCAAGGGTACTGAGTAGCGTGGAGTCTGGATAAAATCGCCTGTCAGCTTCCACCATTGTTCTCAACGTGGATCGCACAATGCTCGGCTGCGTCGAAGCCAGCAGTACGGCGATATTCCTGGGGCATTTCACTCACCCCTCCTCAGCAGGGGTCATGGCGAAGGCCTCCTGGCCATAGAGGTGGTAGTACCATGCGGTGGAACCGGCGGCGGCGGCAGTTGCAAGCGCAGCAGTGAGTGTGAGGTAGAAGGGGGAGCTGGCGGCCTCGGCGCCGGCGGCGGTGGAAGAGGCACGCTGTTGAAGATTAGCAACGGAGCCATTCTTAAATGCAATGCACGTTCAAGAATCGATTGCCCCCTTCCGTGGAGGTCAATGGGGTGAGGCCGTACCGTGGACTTCCCGAGGGACTGGCGGGCGATGGCCCGGTTGGAGGCGCGCAAAATGGAACGTCCCAGCATGACGAAGTTTAACCCAAGCAATTGAATTTGATTGGGAATGGGTGTTGTATCGCCAAAGCGAGAGGGGGGTGGGTGGGGAGAGGAGAGGGGATGGTACAGGAGAGAGGTGCTGGAGGTTGAGGTCGAAGTCGAAGAAACTTGACATTGATGATTACCCCCTTGCTCTGATTGGCTCCCGGCCACGCTAGAAAACCGACTCTCGGAACATCAAAATTCGGCTGACTTACAATGGATTGATCTATATCAAATATACTAATTGATTATAATAAATCGTTATATTCTGTCCATTGCTTCTTGTTCTTCTTGTGGTCCTGTGTTCTCGTCCTTCTTTTTCCCTTCGGTTGTGCGTGTCCCGGGATTCACCGAGAAAAACACGCATCACCGGAACAATGTGCTATTCGAATATAGCTAGAAGATCAGGTTGCTGATTACTAGCTATATATATCAACTAGTCTATCTTTTCTCCAGCACTTACTATCTTCCTCCAGCGTCGGGTTATCTCAAGATTCCTTGTGCCTCCGCTAAGTATTACTAGCTGTGTTTACATATGTAGCTATATCAGCTTGTATTACGACTTGCATTATATAAGGAAACTCATATTGAGCTAGGTCCTTAAAAGGAGAGTCAGAATTGAGAAATTATATTCTAGGTCAAGTCTTAACCCTACCCCCGATGTATATATTTAGCCAACAAATCGCCCCAAAACATCTCCAATTATTGTAATATCGGTGACGGTAAGGCTGCCGCTTCGCGTTGCGATCGGCTCCAAGATCACAGGGTGAGCTACTGACTGAGCAACCTGATCGCTCACCCCGTTGCTCACCTTAACCAGCCCCTTCAAGTCTCATCGTGCTTCTAGCCCTTTTCCTGATTAGTTTGCTAACTGCCCCTGCTGCCTACTAGTCTCGTGTTCCAGGAACCTGTGTCAGCCGTGAATTACGCCTAATCCCCATTCCATACCAGCCCCAGCGGTTACTTGCACAGATCATCAATCATCCTGCACAGACTAAATAGGGGGAATTGAGATAGCTACGAATTCAGACAATTCCATACCTCATACAAAGGTCATAGGAGCGTGGTATTACTAGTGGAAACCAGAATCCCACTTCCGACAATTATCCATGGCCGTATGAGTATTGTATCAGCGTCATATGAAGACGTGGTGGCGCGTTGGTTGTTGTGGTGAGAGTGCTGTTCTGCCATGGCGCTGTATTACCATCCGATTATATCCTACGCCACGCGGGAACTAAAATGCAACAGAATTTGTGACACCGAAGGGGATAAGGATTTCGTAATAACTAGCAAGGATGCACTGTAGCTAACAATAACAATACAAGGGAATTGTCATCCTTGCAGAAGTGCCTTATCGCACTAGGTAACTAACGATGAAGAGCAAACGTAAGCCACCAGAGCTACTAACGCAAGTCACGTGCATCACATGTATGCACATCCAGCCGCGCTTTGCCCATGTCACTCATTGATCGTAGTCAGTTTGTGAGGTCCAGTCCCTCGATTCACGCGCGGAACTCTCTAGTAAGACATTAGGGGGATTTGGGGGGAAAGAGCCTTGTTTGACCAGTCGAGAATTTCGACTGATGAAAAGTCGGCGGCGAAAACAGCACGCCAGAGTTTGGGATCAGGGATGTCTAACATCAAATCAGCACGGAAGACCTATCATGGACAGTTCTGGTTCTCACCGTAAGGTTCGGGCCGGGTTGTTCTGCAGTCGATTATGAGCCAATCTTTGATCGACCCATCTGCAATCCAGCGAGCGTAAGTCCCAGTGGAGGCAAATCGTTCGCAGTGTTCTTTCAGTCGGTCACCCTCGCGTAGTAGTTCGATTCCCCATCCGACCTGGGCAAATCGGAAATCAATGCGTCCCTGTCCTCCCGAGGACCACTCGCTCGTGACGTTCATCGCATATCCGAGGACCTCGTGGGCAGCGCGATAAAACTCATCTTGGTACGTCGCTTCATAGGGTCGGATAATGGCTGCGTCACCAAAACGTCGAATCCCGCTAGAAATATTCCTGGGTGAAAAGCGCGCTAATATGGCTTGAGCTAAAGTCGTGATGTTCGGGTACCTTTCGAGAGGGAAATTCATGGTCGAACTAGTCCAGTAGTGTTCGACGAATCTAACTCAGTCAGTATCAAATGACTCCCATGAGACCAGACCATCTACTTTGCATGCAGCCGCGTCGGGAACACACAAACAATACGCTCGGCATCAGCGTCCGCTGGCTCAGAGTGCAGCCAGCCGTTCTCGTAGCATTGCTTGATCCCTTCGTCGTTGAGATCTCGATCAACATTCCCCTCTGATAACGCCTTCCGAAGGATCTCGGCGGCTTCGGGGGAGACTCTCTTGGGTAGAGGGAACGAGCGTTGAACCGGGCACTTCATGAGGTATACGAACGCTTGTGCTTCGTTGTCCAGACTGCTGAGGACGTGGCTATCATTGAGCGTGATTTCTTCATGTTTGAGCTCGCTATGATAGACCTATTCGACGGTTAGTGATGATAGATATAGGAAACCGGGCTCGTGGTTGCTCAGGTAGGAGGGAGTCACCTGGAGCAACATGTGAAGTATGCCATCCACCGCACCAGGGTGGCCATGGGTAAGATCGAAAATGTACTCTCGCGCCGTCTCGTCTAACTTGAGCTGCGGGTTCTGATTGTCCTGATGACAGAATCGTCCCACCACGTCTTCGAATTCCTCGGAGTTGTAGAAGAGGGCAATCCACGGCGAGAATTGGATCGATGACGGAGTGATCGACACCCTTTGTTGAGGACCTAGATATGCCAGAGGACTTGCGGCACGGTACTCCAAATCTGTCCCTTCGGTAGGACTGCCATAACATGTGAAAATACAGATCCTGGGTCCCCAGTGTGACCCACTCTGATATTTGATCAGTTCAATCCAAAGAGCTTCATCATCGTATGTCAGCTGTCCTTCGTCTAAGATGAGGACGTAGTTCCCACCCTCGACAAACTGTGCATCGAACTGGTGGTAGCCTCGTATGCGGGCTTCCTCGATAATCTTTTCCCTGTAGTCTTGGGGTGTGGTAGTTCGCCAGGAGTTAAATGCTATGACGGCGATTTCCTGCTGGCGGTAGTGATGTGAGAGGAGACGGGCCAGGGTTGTTTTGCCTGAGGCGGGCGTGCCTCTAATATGTATCACTCGGGACTCGTCGAGGATCCGTGCGAGTTCCTTGACAGTGCTTTCCCGT